GAAATTTGGGGATGTCACAAAATCAAGACCAATTTACTAAATTAACTACATCAGAAGTTTAGTGTCACGCATTTTCTCTTAAACCGATAGGTTGTTGAAGTGTAGGGGCGATATATTGTTGGAATTCTTGAACAAGGAATTCCAAAATTTATATTCTAATCAGAATGAAGGACAATGTAATTGAAATCCTGGAACTAGGGTTTATGATGATGAAGAAGAGCTATTTATCTCCATTGTTCTTAACTTAAGAAAGAAAAGATCAATTAATATGCAAAGAATAGTAGGGCCTCCTTTATAGGTAGATTATAGATCTTCTATTTTCTTACTAGAATACAACATTCCTTTTTCTCAAAATAGCCATCTATTTTTTTATGGTTCTACAGGCATACTGTATATTTTTTAGTGGTTGTCATTGATTTAAAAACAAATAAAAAATTAAATGGTGTTTGGTTCATACACTACATGCTTTTGCTTTTATTACTTATGTTTGTGAAATGTTTAAGTTATCACAACAAGTTTTTAGATAAGATTGAGGTATATTATTTATTATTTAGTTTTTCTTTTATGTATCATTTAATTTATTACAATAAATGTTTAAATAATGGTTTGGGGATATTTTCAAGACTGTGCATGCTAAGGAAACACCACCTAAAGTTTATGCACATATAGAATAAATTGTTGATGCTTAGTGCCAAGGGAGGGTATTAGTTATGGTTATTTGATAAAAATGTTCACGGTAGTGAAACCATTAACTTAAGTTTGGTTAACTTAAACTTACTGTAATATGTAATTTGAATCTAAAGCTATTTAAATAAATTTAACAATTATTAGTTTAATGAACGGTATATATATATATATATATATATATATATATATATATATGTATATACAGACAGAGAGAGAGATAGGCTCAAATGTTTCCAACAAATATTGTGTGCCTAAATGTACCAATAAGAATTCAAGAAATAATAAATAATTAAATAAATCATTAAAGGGTATTTTGGACGTTTTGTACTTTTAATTAAGGAAATCATTTAATTGAAATCCTACAATTATGGAAATAAAGTAAATATATTTAACCTAGTCCTTCACCTTCGTTTCCTCCTTTCATTTCCGTTTGCTGTTATCGATCTAAACCATTTCAATCAGCCTCCATCTTGCAGATTTTCGTTTCAATTTGAACACCGATGGATGTTTGATTAGAGATAGCTTCAGCACGAATCTTGAAGAGGAAGGGGTTCGATTTGAAGACAGGGGTATAACCGAATAATGTAAAACCAATTAAACACGAATCAGGGTGAGGTTTGATTCTTATCTCCTTCGTAGCCGACATTCTATTCACTACATCAGTTGAACAATTTGATTTTCAATTGCTTTTCAAGTTTGTATTAATTCTCAGGTTTAATTTTTCTTGCATCTTTAGCTTGTACTCAATAATTAACTTAATCATGTTAGGCTTGATGTAATTTCCCTAATAAAGTTAACTCGATTCCAAATCTTTTATAATAAAATGTTTGTCAACTTATTTCTATTGCTGATCTTGTATATTGTAGGTTTACCTTCAGAATTTGGTCTTCAAAATTCTGCCTTTAAAGTGTTTGTGAAAATTCCTCAACGAATGAGAGTGACAATGAGTGCACTCTATAAAGGGTTCCATTCTTGAAACATTATTCAAAGCATGTGAACATGAGGCCCTTACAAAGCAGTATTATCGCGAGCTTTGAGGCATGAGTAAATCTGAACAAATAGAAAGTTGACTTATTAAAAGCATGAATTGTAGAAATATATAGACTTTTATACCTTTTTGTGAAAGGAGTGGAGAAAACTTGAAGTAAACCCACGATTGCATCCAACAATGGGAAGATGTTGACATATCTTTTACTGATGCACATGTAAGTTATTGTTATTATTCATTGATTCTTTTTCTACATAGAATGTTGTGAATGGAGTAGCATATGATTGATTTGTATGATATTTGTGAATATCCTGTTAACAAACACCCCATGTAGGGGTGTTTTTCTTTCTCCATTGGAGAATAAGGTTGTAATATGTTTTTGCAGTCTGTAAATATAGCTTGCTCAAGGCTTGTTTTCATGTTAGTATGAATGTCATTCAGTTTGGATTTAGAATGTAGAAAACAATAAACTGGTGTAAAATAGCGATTCTGATAGAATATTCAAAATCATTCTGTAAGAATAGTTTATTATGTTAGAATATTTATTGATGTATTCTGATAGAATTGTAGTTAATTGTTTATATGTTTAATGTGCAATTGTTACAAGTGTATCACTACAAAATATTTTGCAATAAATTTGTGATATAAATGGTTTGAAGAATGGCTTGAAGACCTGATGTAAAAGGCTTGAAGAATGAATTAAAGAATGATCACACTCATACAAGTAATTAACAATGTTGTTATTTTTTAGGAATTACACTTGTTATTTTTTTCAGAATGTTGTTATTATTCAATGAATCACAATCATACAATGTAATTATTTGGTATATTATTAGTTCAAGAATCGATTTTGTGTATTTTTTCAGAATGTATTTAATAGTTTATGATTGACATTCTGTCATTCTGACAAAATAAAATCGAAAATATGTTTACAAGTTTATGATTGGCATTCTATCATTCTGATAGAACAAAATCAAAAAAATATATTTACTAGTTTATGGTTGGCATTCTATCATTCTGACAGAATAAAATCGGATTTTTAAATTTGAATTAATTTAAAATATTCAGATTTTTTAAATAAAACAATTAATTATCCCTAAAAATCCGAAAATTTCCTTCTTTTAATATAGGTTAATTGACTAAAATGCCCTTATACTGAAATTAGTGTAATTATATGGTATATGTTATCCTATTCTAATATCATAGACCTTCATATCATGACATTTGATTCTATTCCATCTGGTAGTCCAGATCTGTGCATTCTGACACACAATAGTTACTAGAAACAATATAACCTAACTAACTAACTAACTAACTAACTAACTAACTAACTATATATATATATATATATATATATATATATATATATATATATATATAAAGTTAATTATAAATTACCTACTTAAGTAATCGGACAACCATAATGCTAATTCAATACTTTAAACCATTTGGTTATCTTGACAATTACATTTGGATTACAACAAATTTAGATCGGTTTGTTTGTAAACTATATAACATTTTCATTTGTAAGAAAAAAAATAACATATTTAAGGTAACACATCTTAGGCTGTGCGGAGTGTAGCGGGAAAGGTTTATGGGAAACGAACCCGCACCTCGGAACACTACACTGAGGGTGCACAAAAGGTGGTATGAGAAGGAGGTGAGGGAAATGCTACATACATTCTCTCTTATGCTCTTATTGTTCAAGTTTTTTTTTTTTTATTAAAATTTATTAAATTATACACCTACTAAAAATTACAAATATATATATATATATATATATATATATATATATATATATATATATATATATATATATATAAATTCATGCTTTTTTATTCCCTACAAAATGAATATATAATTTTTGTATAAAATATATTTAAAAAAAATAAAAAATAAAATTTAATGAAAGTTAGTCATATTTTCTATGGTTTGGTGAGGGAAAGAAGAGTAAAAGAAAAACTGACGTGACCTTAAAAAGTAAAATATGCTTCGTATATACATCTTTGGGTCTAAAAAATTCCAATGGTAGAATTCAAGATTCAATCACATTCATTTACATTTCCTTTTTGTTTCTATCTTTATATAGTTTGTAAATTAATAGATCATTAGTTTTTAAAAGTACAATTATTCGATCACTTTAATTCCCTCCTTATTCAATTTGTTATGGAAAATAATTAATAAAAGTACATTGCTATTGACATATGATTTTTTTAGATTTCTTTAGATTTTTTTTTATTTTTCCTTTTGCACACATAGTAAGTGATTAGCATTTCAATTTCATTGAGACATTATACTTTTGAAAGTCTACCGATAATGCCACTATACTACATGTTTAGTTGTGGTTGTTTTGTTGTGTTGACTTGATCTTTTATTTTACAATGATAAACATAAATGTATGCAAATCTATGATTAATGTTTATTATTTTTATACTTTATATGTTATTTATTTTGTGAATCATGGATTCCACATGTTAGAACTTAGTGTATTATTTATATATATGTTTCTATTGATTAAATTAAAGGGAAAAATGAAGAAAATCCCAACAATTTACTTACCAACATTTAGAAAAAGTTTTATATTTTGTTTATAGGCAGAAAAACACTTATATTTTCATTAACCTTTCATATTTATCAAAATATTCATTTTTTTAAGAAGTTACCAATGTTTTGTGTTATGTCATTTATCTTTTTTTGTTTCTTAGGTTGACATGAAAAAACAAATAATCTTGGTCACTTATTTTTGTTTGATTAAATGGTCTTATTTCTCACGTGCCGTGAGTTCATTACAATGTTGCAAGAGGGGATCTCTCTTCGGTCGAATAAGATACGGGATCAACCCTCAGGTCATAAACATATAGATGAATGGGTGTGACGTGTAACATCATTTGTCCAACTTATATAGCATATTAGCATTCATGTTTTTCTTTTTCCACAGAATTGTTATATTATCTTATTTTTACTACACAGTACACATCACAACCATTACACGAATTACCGAAGAATAATGAGGAACGTAAATTCGTAATCCTTTTTGAACAAGAGTAAGTGCTTAACGAAAGTCATTGATCTTTTCATATTTAGTAAGTTTCCGACTGTTTAGCATCTAAATTTATATCGTGTTTTTTGTATGGTTTGAGTTATATAAGTGAAATTTTTCCTTGGTCAAATTATGCTCTAACGTTTTATGTTATTCTACCATATTTTTCGAATTTGGTTCTGACTTCCACCATACTCGCAACAGATTTCTCTACTCTATAAATACCAATTTCAGTTTTTCATGTAATTCTAACAGACTCGATTACCAGTCACCTCATATCGCAACATGGGACATTGGCGTATCAAGATATCACTTGTTGCTGCTATATACATGACAATTCTACATTCATCTGTCGCCCACAACGAACCAGAAGACTTCCTTCATGCCCATGGTTGCATTAGAAGATTACTGGATTTACCACCTCTGGTATGGGACCCTGAATTGGCAAAAGTTGCGCAAGCGTGGGCTGACAAAAGGAAGGATTGTAAATTGACACCCTCTGACAAGGTTGGTGAGAATATGGCACAGGGGCCAAATCTTAATGCTTCATATGCAGTTCAGATGTGGGTTGAAGAGAGACCCGATTACGACCATGCTAAAAATGAGTGCTTACCGGGTACTCAGTGTGCCCATTATACGCAAGTGACATGGAAAAATACAGAACGCGTTGGATGTGGTAGGGCTCAATGTTCAGACGGAGTGTGCTACGTTATTGTTTGCAATTATGACCCACCAGGGAACATTGTTGGCGAGAAACCCTACTAATTCTAACTCATTCCTTCTGTCATCTCATTTATCCTTTTGTAACCGGAGTAATTTTTGTAAAGGAAGCAACTCTCAGAGTCGGTGTCTAATAAGGTTTCTATGAGGCTATGAGTCAATGGGTACGTGGATAATAATCGGAGTTGATGTGATTGATACTTATGAGAGAAGAAATACGTGATTAATAAATTGTTTTTCTATTGTATTTCATACAACAATCCTCTAGTATAGAGTATCTCATTTCCATATTTGTAACCATTAATGTAGTTCAAGATTCAATTTTTGTACATCTAGAAATATAGGTGGTGCTCAATGGTTTACCTGGTGGGCGCAGGGCAGGTTCGGCGTGGGCAGTCGAGAAATTACAGTTTACTATTATTTATTTATTTATTACTTTTTTATTTATATAAATGAATTTGAATTATAGTTTAGCGATAATGAAATCGTTACCCAAGATGCTAATTCAATAAATTAACATTTTGCTCCATGAAATGGTCCTTTATCTATAGTTATTGTTCCGATAGTTGTTGGCTGAAAAAGTATTATATAGGAAAATTCTGTCTGCCAAAGTTTTTTGATTTGAAAAGAAATCATTTTGTTTGATTGTATATCTGACTAACTGAATTATAAATAATAATCATATTATCATGATGTTTTATAATGTGATTGATTAAGTTGCTGAATAATTATAAAAACATACAAACTATCATACAAAATAATCATTTAAAGATTAAAATACAAATTGTCATACAAGGTAATCAAACATGAATCAATTAAAATTCAAATAAAATGCCGATTAGGTTGTTTTTAGTTTATTGTTTTTCAAGTTGATGCTATGTTGTTATTCTTCCTATCCATTTTAGTTTTTTCTTATAATTTGAACACGTAGTTATTGACCCGTTTTATGTCCGATAATAGTGGGATAGATGAGATTTTGTAAAATAAATTATGATAATGGGGGTGTTGTCCAAAAAAATTAAAGAATAATCCAATAAAAATGAATTTAAAAAATTAACAGATACCCATTCAAGTCATTAATTTAATTTCAATAAACTTACAGATGTTTGCTACGAAGAAATGAAATGAGAGAAAAAGAATTCATTCCATTTATTTTGCTTGTTTAAGGTAGAGGATTAAAAATGAGAAGTAAATCAATTCCTTTTCTATCCTTTTCATTCTCTATATTTTATAGAGAATAGGTACTGAGAAATGAAAAAAGTTAGAAGCTAGAGAAATGAAATGCCAACACAAATCAAAAAATGTATCCTTCTCGTACTTCTAATATTGTACGCTATCTGATAATATTGGTGAAATCAATCCTTCTTCTCCGATTAACATTGACCTCCTTATCTGTTTGATGATATCCTCATCCTCACCCAGACATTCATAAAAAAATGGGGGCTTTGCAGCTTTCCTTTTCTGTAACGATATCCATACATTAGACCTTAACATTATAACATCCTGTCTCGAAAAGTTCTTATTTCATGATTATGGATAATTAATGGATCATCGGAGGCCTTGGGCTTCAATGGAATGTAGTTTAGACTCTATTGGTGGTGTATGATGTTGGCTAAGTGATTTAAACATTGGATTGATAGAAGCTGAGGGGTAAAATGGAAAGAGTTATGTTTCGGGCTTCTTGCATATATTAAGGATTTTAGTTTAAGATGTTTTTAGTCATAAGTATCAAGATACAATTATAGATCTCGTTGATACCTTTCTATGGATATAAATATCATCGAAAATAAAGTTGGAATGAAGAAGTTATGGCCATTTGAAGTTAAATTGGAAGAAGAGAGTATGGCAGTATGTTGGGTGTACTGGCTAGAAGAAGTCATATTTTTAGGGTATTACGTTGGTATAACCTTACGTACGATGGGTGTACCGTCATAGTGCAAAAACCCTATTTTCATGGTTTTGATCCCTATTTAAGTACTCTAACCCCTTAGGGTCCTTCCTAACATCAACCTTCACCCTCTTGAGCCTCCAACTCGAAACTGTAGCCTCCTAGAGAAAATCTTGATCCTTTTTACGTGTTTTGGGTGCATTTTGGATGAAAGAAAAGTTCAAGATTATTGATTGTTGAAGCTTAAGCTTGTGGATCAATAGAGAGCCTACATTTCTTTTCTCAACTCCAAAAGGTATAAATCTTGAACCTTTACGATGTATTTGTTAGATCTAGTTAGTTTTGGGTTTTATGAGCTTTTTGGTCCCATAATCTTGGCATCCATGTGTATGGCTTATTTTAATCCAAATGATTTGTCCTTTCAAGATCAACAATAATGAGTGTATTAAAACAAACTACGTTACCTTGATGATAAAAGCATTGAAACTACAATTTCATAATGTAACCTCTAAATGCATATTTATGGGTCGTATAGCCTATAAAAATAACAAAAACATTACACTATGGATTATAGTCTCTGTGAAAATAATCTTTTTACAAAGGGAAATTTGAGAAATAACAAAAAAAAACATTACATTTAATTTTAAAAGTAGGGTAACAACCCTCATTGTATTATTGCAGCCTACCTTGATCCAATAGTTGCTATTCATCTTTTTGCAACTCATTAAATCTTCCTTTCACATAAACTGTCACGAAAACATTTATCTATCAAAAGGGTAAAACTGGTAGTACAAGTAAATAAACCAAAAATTTATAACAGAAAAAAAAACATAAACATAATCGGTATTAATGTAATTCCTCTATTGACAACACTTTACGCATCACCTATATCCTCTAACCTCTCTCTACACACTGCACATGACAACAAACATATATATATATATATATATATATATATATATATATATATATATATATATACACACACACATACATACACACACACATTATCGTCAGCATACACATTACACAACAACATTTTGAAATTAAATACAACACACTTTTTCAAACCCTACATACCATCATCATCATCATGATACATGACATAATTCTTCCATAGCAGATGCAGGAAAGATACAATTTTTTAGCCCACTTCTCTTGTCCATACCATTTATTAATCATAAATCATGAATAACCAAATTTGAATGAGAAAAAACAAAGTTAGTATATCAAAGTCCAACTGAACTTAACATGTGTGCTAGGTAACTGTGATATGCATAAGGTTTCCTATGTTTCATCACCAGGTTTGTGTTGAGGAACACTCAAGATAAGAGTAGCTAGATCCCAGGTGGCAGATTTTGGTGTAATACGGTAACCATTACCCCATCTTCTATGGATCCCCTCACTTGGATGCCTTTTGATGTACGATTTATAAATAATAATGTACAAGTACTTTTAAAATATTTTGTCATTTAAAAAAAAAAGGAACAAATTTATCGACTTCCTAATATAGAATGTATGAAAATTAACAAAAAAAATAAATAGATGTTACATGGTTTTCACATATGTTGCTTGAAATATCTAGATTCTATCCAAGTCATATACAAAAAAATGATTTACATGAATTTTATAGAATAAGTTATAAACCCAAAAAAATAATCTATGCATTATTTCTACGAGTAGTACAGTACAACACAACAAAGTATACAAAAAAATGTTTTATTTTTACTATTTTGCCCCTGAGGCCTTGACACTTAAGTGTTGTCATGTTCATTGTTTATGATTAGTGAATGCTTATGTACCTGGTCTCAACTCATTGCATCCTTTACAACTTATAGACAATATTTTTACCAAATTGCTCCTTGTTACATATTGTTATTAATATTGTCGGTAAGGGGAAACGGAAGACAATAGCTAGCCGGTGTAGGTAAATCATAAGAAAGAGAAACAAATACATCTGCTATGTATGAAAAGCACTCCAAAAGTGGGAAAATATCTTTGTTTGAATTTGAAAGTTGCTGCAATTTTCCAATCCATGGTTGCATTATCCAAGTTACAAAAGTTGAGTAAACATGTTGCACACATTTTTTATCATCCAAGATTCTTCTTAAAAGACTAATACCCTAGATGCCAAATATCCTGAAGTAGAAAACCAAATAATTGATCAACATCTAAATTTCGGAGTACATTGTCTCTAAAGACTTCATATGAAAAACTGAAAAAGACATAAAGAATTACAAATAAAATGATCCATGTTTAGATGATTTCAAATTGCAAGAAAATAACCTAATCAAATAGTTACCTGGACAAAGGGCATTATAGTTGGAAGAATCTTGTCTCCAAACACATTTGAGATCGTATCCAAGGCAACAACACTCAAAAAGAAATATTACATCATCGAATCCATGAAAATGTGGCTTCAAATCCTGTATAGCTTGTGTAAATAATAAACTTTTTTGAAGAATCATATAGTTTAAGAAGCATATCCTAAAAACGTCTAAATAGAGACATAAATTAGAACCTGGTCACGGTCTGGAAAAGAGTTGTCTTCTTGCGATTATAAATTCAAGTTATAATATGCACACAAAAGTAATCAAATACTTATGACCAGGTTTTAAGAAATTTAGTGAAAATAGTTGACCTCTTGTATCAAATTGTGAATCATAATCCTCAGCATACGCCATGTTTTTAAATTAAACACACCAGTTATCCATATAATCATGAAACACATAGATCAAAAATTATGTCAATTTAGAGATTTTTTTTTTTTGAAGAATATTGGTAAAGAGATGAGGAAGGTGATTGCTTCATTTTATTTACTACTTTTTATAGTTTTTTAGCACATTTCATTCGTATTTTAGTTAATTTCCATGCATATTTTCATTTTTGTTATTTTTATGACCATTTCGGGTACTTTCTAGTTTCTTGAGCATTATTGCAGATTTTCTGGAGACTAGCGGAGTGGGATTTTTGGGAGGCAATTGGACTTGAAGAGCAATGGGGATTTCGTGCTTGATGGTTGTGGTGGTGATTCATGGAGTGGGCTTTTCAATTACTTGAAGGTGTGGAAGTGTTGAACTTTAAATTTGAAAGGGCACGGGAGAATTCTTGAGTGTGCAAGATCGATGTTTGGGAGTTTGCGGAAGCTTTGAGTGAT